ATCCTCACCCATTTATTAAAATGAAATCTGTACTAATCCTTATTTGAGTGACATACACCCGTCTTCACCCATTTGTTAAAATGAAATCTGTACTAATCCTGATTTGAATGACATAAACCCGTCTTCACCCATTTATTAAAATGAAATCTGTACTAATCCTTATTTGAGTGACATACACCCATTTATTAAAATGAAATCTGTACTAATCCTTATTTGAGTGACATACACCCGTCTTCACCCATTTGTTAAAATGAAATCTGTACTAATCCTGATTTGAATGACATAAACCCATCTTCACCCATTTATTAAAATGAAATCTGTACTAATCCTTATTTGAGTGACATACACCCATTTATTAAAATGAAATCTGTACTAATCCTTATTTGAGTGACATACACCCGTCTTCACCCATTTGTTAAAATGAAATCTGTACTAATCCTGATTTGAATGACATAAACCCGTCTTCACCCATTTATTAAAATGAAATCTGTACTAATCCTGATTTGAGTGACATACACCCGTCTTCACCCATTTGTTAGGATGAAATCTGTACTAATTCTGATCTGAGTGACATACACCCGTCTTCACCCATTTATTAAAATGAAATCTGTACTAATCCTTATTTGAATGACATACACCCGTCTTCACCCATTTGTTAAAATGAAATCTGTACTAATCCTGATTTGAGTGACATACAACCATCTATACCCATTTGTTGAGATGAAATCTGTACTAATCCTGATTTGAGAAACATACACCCATCTTTACCCATTTGTTAAAATTAGCTTTGTAGTATCCGTAATCCTTATTTTAGTGACATACTCTCATCTTCACCCATTTATTAAGATAAAATCTGTACTAATCCTGATCTGAGTGACATACACCCATCTGTACGCATTTGTTAAAATGAACTCTGTAGTATCGGTAATCCGTATTTTAGTGACATACTCCCGTCTTCACCCATTTGTTAAGATGGAATCTGTATTGAGCAACATACACCCATCTGTACCCATTTGTTAAAATGAAATCATAACAAATCCAGATTTGCGTGACATGCACCCATCTATACCCATTTGCTAAGATGAAATCTTTACTAATCCTGATTTGAGAAACATACACCCATCTGTACCCATTTGTTAAAATGAACTCTGTAGTATCGGTAATCCTGATCTGAGTGACATACTCCTGTCTTCACTCATTTGTTCAGATGAAATCTGTTGTCATCCTGATTTGAGTGACATACACCCATCTGTACCCATTTGTTCAGATGATATCTGTTGTCATCCTGATTTGAGTGACATACACCCATCTATACCCATTTGTTAAGATGAAATTTGTAGTAACCCTGATTTGGGTAACATACACCCATCTGTACCCATTTGTTCAGATGAAATCTGTTGTCATCCTGATCTGAGTGACATACACCCATCTGTACCCATTTGTTAAGATGAAATATGTAGTAATCCTTATTTGAGTGACATACACCCATCTGTACCCATTTGTTCAGATGAAATCTGTTGTCATCCTGATTTGAGTGACATACACCCATCTGTACCCATTTGTTAAGATGAAATCTGTTGTCATCCTGATTTGAGTGACATACACCCATCTATACCCATTTGTTAAGATGAAATTTGTAGTAACCCTGATTTGAGTGACATACACCCATCTTTACCCATTTGTTCAGATGAAATCTGTAGTAATCATGATTTGAGTGACATACACCCATCTGTACCCATTTGTTAAGATGAAATCTGTTGTCATCCTGATTTGAGTGACATACACCCATCTATACCCATTTGTTCAGATGAAATCTGTTGTCATCCTGATTTGAGTGACATACACCCATCTATACCCATTTGTTAAGATGAAATTTGTAGTAATCATGATTTGAGTGACAAACACCCATCTGTACCCATTTGTTAAGATGAACTCTGTAGTATCGGTAATCCGTATTTTAGTGACATACTCCCGTCTTCACCCATTTATTAAGATGAAATCTGTACTAATCCTGATTTGAGTGACATACACCCATCTATACCCATTTGTTAAGATGAAATCTGTACTAATCCTTATTTGAGTGACATACACCCATCTGTACCCATTTGTTAAGATGAACTCCGTAGTATCGGTAACCCTTATTTTAGTGACATACGTACTCCCGTCTTCACCCATTTGTTAAGATGAAATCTGTATTGAGCAACATACACCCATCTGTACCCATTTGTTAAAATGAAATCATAACAAATCCAGATTTGTGTGACATGCACCCATCTATACCCATTTGTTAAGATGAAATCTTTACTAATCCTGATTTGAGAAACATACACCCATCTGTACCCATTTGTTAAAATGAACTCTGTAGTATCGGTAATCCTGATCTGAGTGACATACTCCTGTCTTCACTCATTTGTTCAGATGAAATCTGTTGTCATCCTGATTTGAATGACATACACCCATGGCATCTATATCTATTTGTTAAGATGAAATCTGTAGTAATCATGATTTGAGTGACATACACCCATCTGTACCCATTTGTTAAGATGAAATCTGTTGTCATCCTGATCTGAGTGGCATACACCCATCTATACCCATTTATTAAGATGAAATCTGTTGTCATCCTGATTTGAGTGACATACACCCATCTGTACCCATTTGTTAAGATGAAATCTGTTGTCATCCTGATTTGAGTGACATACATCCATCTGTACCCATTTGTTAAGATGAAATCTGTTGTCATCCTGATTTGAATCCTGCATACACCCATCTATACCCATTGAGGGCAAGAATTATTCGAATGGTATATTTATCTTTTATATTTTTTTTCTTCAGAAAACCAGATAACAAGAATGACAAGAATATTGGAGTTACTATGACGATAGGATCTTATAATGTATTTGAAGCTGGCTGCCGTATCCTTTCAATTTTGAGAGACTTTGTTATAGTATAATATCTAAGATAAACCTCATTTGATTGGCTGCCCAACCCTCGTACTTCACAGTCAGACCAAGCAAAGACCAGCTTGTTTGTTGACAGGTTTTGAATGATCTGTTTATTATCTTAAGAACCTCCGTTTTATTTGTCCCCATTTGAACAAAATTTGAAACAAGGACTTGTAGTTCATTCCCTGTCCTTCATATTGTGACGTTAAATGCGGGGGTGCCTTTATGGGGCTACACCGTATTCAGGATTGGGGAGCTTGTCTTTAATACCAGTCTAATAGTCTTTGTCTTTGGTAGCGTGCTTATCTTATAAGTCTCCTCCCTCTCAGCTCGTCCGCTGTCACGGGGTGGGGATCGTTTGGTGAATGTATATCACCACAACTGAGACTGTGCAGAGAAAGAAATATACCAGTAAAGATTATAACAAATTAACACAACACAATATATACGGTTTCCTGTACTTTAATAAACAAATAACAGGGATGCTGGTCACTGGAACCAGCAAAGAGGGGGATACACTGTAAAATAAAATAAATTAGAGACTTGATCGATGCTGCAGGGAACACTCCACTCTCCATTGGACAGCAATGTGCAATGTTGCGTTCCTTCGTATCTGGCACACTGTCGAAGCAGCTGCACTACAATTTAAACTCGTGCTCTGTGTCCAGGGAGTATCGGCAACTGCACTGCTATCTGCTGCTACTGGTAGCACTGGTACAATGGGAGTAGTTCAGGCAGTGAGCTTCAGTGGTTTCTGTTGATCAGC